TAGAGAATAAGTGAAAAGGAGATGAACCATACAAAGAGAAGGTACTGAATATCTTGGTGCCGGGGCTGATTTATGGCCACGTTGAATTCATTATATAGGGTGCATAATTTACTAAAGTGAAAAGGGAGAGCGGGGAAAAAATTGAAGAATTCTCTGTGGAAAGGCAACATTTTGATGGCGGATCCTCTTATCTAAAAGCTTTGCTTGACAGAATACGAGGCGTGTGTGGTAGATATGAAGATATAGAGATGGAGAGGAGATAGCAGGAAAAGGCTTGGCTTGGAGCTATTTTTCAGCCACAATGCTTTTCTAGCAGGCACTGCACTGCTTTGGCGTAGTTTTGCTATCCCCTAGATGGACAAAGCCTACTCACAAAATAAGGATGAGCAGAATCTTATTAATCTTATATCATGTTATGTGAAATTTTATATTATGCTCCCTGTATTGCATAAGAAAACCAGCTAAAATGATTTATCGAATTTCATGTTAAGCATGATATTTCAGAACGACTGACTGCAAATAATAACACTGGCATCATTTTGGATCAGAAGCTGTATGTTTTAAACTTGCACAATTTAAACTTTTCCAATCCTTTTAATAAAATATATAAATATATACATATACTATTCAGGAAAAAGAAATATATATATATGAAAATCAAAAGTAATATTTTCTTGAAGAAAAATCTAAAAAAAAATTTAAATAATGTTTCAAATTATTAAATTATGGACAATAATTTTGAGTAATTGACTGAATAATCACATAACAAATAACTTTTCCAGCCTTTGAAATGTTTTTGGATCTTTCTTCTATCCTGTGCCTTTCTACTATTTCATCCCAAATGTCTTTAGGAAGCACAGTGTAATGTGAGTAAAGGTATAGATTTTCACAGGTTATGATGATTTTCTGTAGGCAATATACTGTATACCCCTGGAAATCTCAATTATTCATACCCCTGGCAAATTCTGACTTAAAGTTACTTTTTCTCAACCAGCAAGTTTTTTGTTGTTTTTTTGACCAGAAATGACACTGGCTTCTCCCAAAAGATGATATGATGTACAAGAGGCATGTAGGAAATAAAATCTCAGTTTTTTTGACATTTAAACAAAACTTAGCATGTAAAAAAATAAATAATGGAATCATTCATACCCTTTTGAATAATCAATAGAAAGAAACTATTGACTATTACAGAAATCAACTATTCCTATTATTGCTGAGCAGCTTTTTGCATGTCTCCAAAGTAGGGCTGCACAATATATATAATTTCAGCATCCATATCACAATGTGTGCATCTGCAATAGTCACATGACCAGGAGCCGCAGTTCAGAACAGTCAGGCCAGAGTCATTGGAGTTTTTCACCTTAATGGAGCAGATGTTTACCATTTACATTATTATATATATATCAACTCTTTCGTGTTGGAGGGTCTCCTTGCCATAACCATCATCGTTAGCTTCCTCCATGGATTCTCAATTGGATTTAAGTCAGGCCTCTGGGTGGGCCACTGCAAACCATTAATGTCTAATAACTATTAATTCACCACATTTCTTGTTCTTGTTTTGGGTTGTTGTCATGCTGAAATGTATGCTGTGCATAAGGCCAAGTTTCTCTGCATATTGCCTGATATTGTTGATGAGAATTTTGATGTATTGCTACTTTTTCAAGGTGCTGTTTTCTGTGATTAGGTTTTCTGGTCCACCGGCTTTTTTCAATTGGCTGCAGAACAAATCATTGTTATACTATGACTTGCCTAATGACCCTAACTTGCCTAGTTAACCTAATTAACCTAGTTAAGCATTTAAATTGCATTTGAAGCTGAATACTAGTATCTTATAAAAAATATCTAGTAAAATATTATGTACTGTCATACACAGACATATCATGTCAAAAACATAATTTTTTTGGAATGTGATTTATTGCAATGTTTCTGTGCACAGCATTCTGAATTCCACAATTAAAAATTCTGCCATTGCACTGCCATTCCAAATGGCACCATACATAAACATGTATCAAAATACATTGTCAGTGACCACTTAAAGTATGTTTTTAAGGAGATATTACCTTTTATTTTACCACACACTACAGTACTACTAAATGAGCAAACAATACTTCTTTATGGCTTACAAGCAAATTAGAAAAAAAGAAGTTAGTTAAAAGATGCTGTTTATGGCAACTGAATATGTTGGATTCTCTCTTTCAACATCCCATATCCATCACATGTTAGATCTATGTGAATAGTACTGTGGCTGTTTAAATTAATTCAACCACTCGAGCATTTGCAGTTTAAAAGCAATCCGATCAAATGTCTTTTGATTACCACTGAAATGGCTCAAATGTAGAAAAGCCCAAACCCCATTTGACCCTGTTTAGTCCTGTATAAAGCATCATCTGCTTGTGAACGGATGTACAAAACCCATTTTAATACCCCATTTAAATGGGGCCATGAACGCAAAATCTTTGCCAGATTACACACATTTACTAGTATGAGGGTTTTGTGAGTGTTCTTCCAGCACAGTGGCTCTTGCGAGGTGAAGAGATGTGTTTTACTAATTAAAGGCCACCCCAAAATCCAACCTGAATCCCTGCCTCCCAATCCTCCTCCCTCCAGTTGCAGATGAAGGGCAGCCCATGGTGAAGGGAAGAGGGGGGGTTATCTTCTTCTAATAAGGCATTTTAATTGTATGGATTTAATTTAAGCACAGATTTACAGCTTCACAAGCTCTCATCACGCCCATTTAAAAATAACTAGGAAGGTCTCTCCCTTGATCCCTGTCTGCACGCTAATGTCTCACACACGGCCAATCCTGAGAGAGAGAAACACATCACAAAATAGGTGTCAGATCTTTGCCATGACCAAGCTAATTATCAGCACTGTACTTGATGAGCCCATGCAATCCCCTCGATAACTGTCACACAGTCTAACACATTTGGAGGTTATAGAGAGAGAGAGTTTTGGGAAGATCCATGAACTGTGAAAGACACGCACAAACACACCACACAGCAACACATTCAGACAAATCTCTCCTCACAGAGTCAGGCCATGCCACTGTGAATTGAGCATTGAAGTTTTTTTTTTTTCACACCTCAGGATAAGTCTTTCGAACAAACAAACTCCTCTTAATGAGTTTTTTACGGACCAAGAAGGAAAGCAGTGAAGCCAGTCATCACGCTCAATCCTCACTGGCAATAAACGGCAAACAAGGCCACTGTGTTTACACTCATCAGAGCTTAAACTGGGAGAGCTTGAGCCAAGGCTGTCACACGCACCTGAGCACATTGCCACACACGGTGAGTCATCGGTGAGCGTATTACCATTCACTCTGTCACGCTCCACTCTCCACATCTGTCACTCAGTTTGGCTGAGATTTAAATTTTTTATTTTGGTCAATCTGTTAAGCCTGATGTGGGTTTGGGATGGGATGGGATGGAGGGGTTCCCTTACGAGTTCACATCTGCTAAAACATGTCACATGAGTCAACATCTGTCCCTTGTTTATCAGTCAGCTCTCACACATACAAATATCCATTTATGTAATGCATGTCATCGAGTGGGAATCTGATCAGACTTACGGAAACCGGTCAACACACAGGAACCTCTGCCCACATGCACACAAATGGATTACAAGAGTGAATGCAGAAGCCTGGAAGTACACACACACACACACACCAACAATACACCACGCTTTCCATAGCTGGAGTCTATTGTCACTTCCATGCCATATGCTGTCCATCACCGTGTGGGAGCTGCCGTGGGTAACTGTTCTCCCCAGTCAGTGAGTCTGCGAGGCCTGCACTCACCCTGACTGTCATCTAGCATCTGCTGGGTTTATCAAACACCAGACTGGTACTGACGGAGTCAGGACCCATGTGCCCTTGCTTTCTATCTAAAACCTTAGCCCGGTAAACTTTACTACCACTTTCAATGGAGATTACACTCAAATTAGAGTTAAGTACACTTTCCTTCAATCCACACATATTATATAGCTTTATATTTGACCCCTCTTGAATCTGATCTGAAATTTCCTTCATTCATTCATTCATTCATTCATTTATTCATTTTCCTTCGACTTAATCCCTTTATTTATTAGGGGAAGCCACAGTAGAATTAACCGCCAACTTATCTAGCATATGTTTTATGCAGTGGATTATCTTCCAACTACAACCCAGTACTGGGAACACCCATACACACTCATTTACACACATACACTACGGACAATTAAGTCAATTCACCTATACCACATATCTTTGAACTGTGGGGGAAACCGGAGCACCCTTGGACACCCTTGAACACAGGGAGAACATGCAAACTCCACACAGAAATAACAACTGGCCCAGCCGGGACTCGAACCAGAGACCTTCTGGGTGTAAAGCAACAATGCTAGCCACCATGTCACTCCTGATCTGAAATTAACTTGTTTAATTAGAACCTAAATTGGTTAAACTGAATTGCCATTTGAGTGTAAGAAAATTACTTTGAAGTTCAGTTCAGTCAGGCCCTGTCCTATTAGATTAGATTACATGAAAAAATACCTGAGAAACTATGAGTTCTACCAAATACACCAATTTTACACACAACCAACACAGAAATAATGAGACACCTCAGTCTGCTGCACCTACTGTCACCTAAAAAATACAATGAAATCAGTTCATTACTGGACCTTTGAAACTCTCTAAACACACAGTAAATTGAAGTGTATTTTCAGAAACTGAACTAGTGGCCAGAGAATACATAAAGGGAACATGATGCAATACCAGAGCCATATTTGACATCTTTCAAAGAGACAGATTTGGGGATGCCAGGAAAGTCTTTTCTGTGGTATGTGCAAGCAATTCAACCACAACATACTTATAAAAAGGAAGAGAAAAATATTTAATATATATGTAACAAACTATTCATTTAGCACCATCTACTATTTTAGCATAACTACCATTTGTTTTTGGAAGCAAACCCCATTTTTTTCCAGCGCTGCATTGAATATAAATCAAAAATAAAGATTGGTACCGTTTTTGTGCTGTATTTTGGTTGATTGGTCTTGTAGCTGTAATCCGAGTACTGGTCTGAGCCGGTGGAGTTGTCATCCCCGCCTGTTCCCACAAAGGTATTGGCAGCAGGGAGCTCCTGGACAGCCTGATGCTTTTGGGAGGCAGATGGGGACTGGGCCTGGAGCTGGATGGAGGGCAATGGGGAATTGGAACGATAGTGCCTGCCCAGGTCAGGGCTTCCAGGCGGATATGTCAGAGGCAAATGGATCCTGGGGCTGTCATTAACCCCATCAAGGTTAAATTTCAGACTCTTTTGAAGGCTGACTTCTTCATCCTCTCCAAGAGGTTTAGGTGACTTTGGTGGCTTCCCTTTTTTACCTTTTCTCCCCTTGCCACTTTTTGGCCCTTGCTTGGGGGCATACAGATCTTTGGTCTCCTTCTTGCCAGCCTGATAACCACTCTTAGTTTCTCTTTGAAGGCGATGTCTGATGAAGACCACAACAACGATCACGGTGACGACTCCTGCCACTCCAGCTAAACTGCCATACACAATGTTACTTCTTTGGGCAGCCAAACCATAATCTGGGTCTCCTGCAATGTCCATGTCGAGTGGGGTGTACAAACTATGCCCCACAAGTGCCTCCACATGACTTACATTGGCAATAGTTTCATTAACATAAATGTGTACCAAGGCAATGGCATGGCGGGATGGTTTGCCCCTGTCACTGACTTTTATGACCAGTCGATGCAGACCACTATGTTTGCGTGTTAATTCCTTGGTTAATGTGATCTCGCCATTAGATGGTGAGATGTAAAAAAGGTCATGTGGATTTCCTCCAGCAATACTGTATACTAGTTCAGCATTGGAACCAGAATCAATGTCCTCTGCTTCGACAACTTCAACAACACTGTCTGGAGCAGCCATGGGAGACAGACGTATAAAGGATGAATTCGATGGTTTGGTTACAACTGGTGCATTGTCATTTTCATCAAGGACATTGATGGTCACTCCAACGTAAGATGACCTGGGAGGGTCTCCTCCATCTACAGCTTTCAACCTGAATGTGTAACTACTCTCCTTCTCTCTGTCAAATGAGATGCTGGACAGAATAGTGCCAGTACCATTCTGAATCACAAATTTGCCCACATCCGGTTCCACAGAAAGTTGCACTTGAGCATTCTCACCTTCATCCATGTCCTGTACTGTTACCATGCCAACAGGGCTAAGGGGTGGCATATTCTCCAAGACTGAAAAGCTGTAGCCACTCAGCATGAACTTGGGGTCATTATCATTCCGATCAAGTACTTTGATTACAACTGTGGCAGTACCTCTGTGACTGGGAACCCCTTTGTCAGCTGCAGTAACACGGAACTCATAGCGGTCCTTGTGCTCACGATCGAGAGGGCTCCGAGCACGTACTTCTCCTGAGTTGGGGTCAATTTCAAAAAGGCCCCTTGTTGAAGAGTCTGCAATAATGCTGTAGACCAGCTCTGCATTAGTTCCACTGTCTGCATCTGAGGCAACTACCTCTACCACCTTTTCTCCTGGTTGGTTTTCCTCAGCAAACTCTACTTCAAACAGGGTGGGTGAGAAAATAGGGGAATTGTCATTTGTGTCAGTCACCTGGACTTTCAGAGAGTTGGTGCTGGATAGAGCTGGATTGCCTGAATCCACTGCTACTATTTCCACTCGGTAGTCCCTAACTCTTTCATAGTCCAGTGGTGTTGTGGTCTGTAGAAAGTACTTTCTCTTGTTGTCAACTGATGAATCACTAGCTGGTCGAAGCTGAAAAGGAACATCCCCTGCAACCACACAGGTCACCACTGCATTCTCTCCCTCGTCCTTGTCTGAAACTTGCACCAGTGCCACTGCAGTTCCAACTGGCATATCCTCTGAAATATTTGCTACACCATCACTGTGGGTCACAAGACCAATTCCTCGAATCTCCACTGCTGGTGCATTGTCATTCTGGTCTGTCACATCAATAGAAACGTAAGTTTTAGAACTTTTTGGTGAAGGGCCTTTATCTCGTGCAACTACGTAAAACTTCAAATTGTTGATCTCCTCACGATCCAAAGGTCCTTTGACATATATGATGCCTGATGAGCGATCTATCCGAAGCAGTTTTGGCACAGGATCAATGGCCTGATGTAATGTGTATTCAATTTCACCATTAGGTCCCAAGTCTGAATCATTAGCCTTTACCTGTAATAGAAAATATACAAGTTAGACTACATAATTAAACAAATTTAAAATATCAAGAAAATGACAACTTACAAAAAAATCGACAACTTAATATAGGACAAAACTGCAAAACGACATTCATTGGGTATTAAATATTGGGCATTTCAACACAGTGATCTATTTATAGCATAAAACTGGGAATATAGTCAAAGTATTGCATAACATGATTTCTGGGGCATAGGCTAGCAATAGAGTGTGGGGTTCCTTTAAAACAAATTTTACACCCTATTTATATCATTTCAGCAATCTAACTCTTTCAAATTTATCTTTAATAGACGTATAGTAATGTATCTACTTTTTTCTTTTGAATAATTGTGTTTGTTATGATCAAACTGGATTATTCTAATAATTATTGTAAGTGAATTTGGTAAGTCAGCCCCTGCTACACTGATGTAAGGCATCAAAGTGAAAAACAGACAGCTGGGAGGTTGGGACAGCAGCGCTCATTAAAATTTCACACTCCAACATGATGCAATTGACAATTTATCTTGCCTTGTTCAGATCTAAAGGTTGACTTAGCATGTTTTCCGTTTTACCTGTAACACAGAGTGTCCAATCGGGCTGTTCTCTGCAACCTCTGCTTCATAGGAGGATTTTTCAAATTTTGGTGCATTGTCGTTGGCATCAGCTATGACAACCCTCAGCAAGGCACTGCTATAGCGAGGTGGATTTCCTCCATCCACAGCTTTGATGGTGAGGTCGTATGAGTCTTTCAGCTCTCGATCAAGGCTTCCCAACACTATGAGTTGAGGTAATTTTTCACCTCGATCCTCTGCAACTTGCAGACCAAAGAGTGCTACAGCCTCTGGTCCTGCTGTTAAGGTGTAGTCAGCTACTCCATTCCTCTCTGTATCTTTATCAGTGGCCAGTGGAATTGAGAAGAGTGCCCCCATGTGGGTGTTCTCTGGAACTGAGAGAGTAAGGACAGGTGAGGGGAACTGTGGTGTGTTATCGTTGATATCCTGTACTTCGATCCTTCCCTCTATCAGCCGTGGACTCTGATTTTGAATAAGGTCTGTGACGGACACCTCAAACTCCAGAAAGCAGGGTTTGCCTTTATTACGACAATCCTTCAGTGTCTCTCTGTCTATGGGGATCTCGGTGGTAAAGATATCTCCAGTTTTGCCATCCACCCGCAGATAGGGAGCGCCCACCTCCAGTTTGTACAGGTGTCCAGTGTCTGGTAGGCCTTGGTCTGCTGCCAGGCTGCCAATCAGTGTGCTCGGAGGCTGTTCTTCATGAACGCGGTATAGAATGCCACCAACCGCACCAGTCAGCAAGTCCAGTAACAGTCCCCACAGCAGAAACAAAACCACAGGGAGATCCATGGGCCCTCGGAGAGGTAACACCTCAGTCTGCAAAACAGTGTGAATAACATGTTAAACCATAAACAAGTTTGTCATTCAGTCCTCATTTGAACAAATGCAGAAAAAACAAACTTTCTTTTATATTTACTTTACCAGAGAGGGACTAGCCAAGGGTGAAACAGAATTCACAATGCACACACTGTTTTGTGTACACACTTTGAGCACTAAATCCAAGACTAAGAGTTGTAAAAGCTCTCCGGAAAATGCCTCTTCCCCCGACACCACTAAAAGCCTTCTCTCTCATTATCTTACATTATTCATAATCCTCATTTTTGAGCTGACGATTACTTGTATGTAAAGAAAAGGGGGAAAAAGACCAACCGCACAAATGTCTTTACAAAAGGTGTTGGAAACAATGATGATGTTTTCAGCTTTGGCTAGTGAATTAGCAGCGTAAGTGCTACGAAAACTGCTGCTTCTTTTAAATCTGTAAGTTAAATCATCCCTATTAATACCACACAGGAAAATGTTAATTATCACCCTTTTGAGTGCCTGTCCAAGCTAAGCTGCTTTTGAAAATTAATGATTTAGAACACGTAAGAAGACACTTCTTAATGGGCTTTTTAATAAGACGGTATGGGTTACTGTTGGTAATGGGTTACGCAAAACAACAGCTCAGCAAGCTTTGTACTATTTACAACATAAATTAAACAATCTTATATGCAGTTTATAATGCACTTTCCTCAACATATGCTTAATCCAATGCATAGTCACAGCTAGTGATGGGGCTATTATTTTGGATGACTTCCCTTTAATGAAGGTTACACTCATTTGATTGGCCCATAACGTAAAATAGGCAGTTTCTCAATGCAAAGTGCTGATGAGACAAAAGGTACGGAGAAGACTGCTAACACAGCACAGGAACCATTCAGCATCACAGAATGTAGGCTGAAAGTTTTCCCCACGGTGAAACACCGGTATATTAAGACGCTGAACTCACAGGTCACAGAGCACCCGAAGGCCAGTCCTTATCTCAAAGTACAGATTTACTCAAGACAGATGAGAAATATCTGTCCTATCAAGGCTCAGAAGTTTCAGGCTAATTTACACACTGTAATGCTGATGTTTGATTTTCAACCTGCTAGGCCTCCTCATTAATCACTATCCTCTATTTTAGCATTTGCTTTGATCTGTATCCCCCTGGATCCAGGTTTCTCTCCTTTTTAAGCACCAAATGGTTTTAGAGTTTAATTATTTCCAGAGTGAGAAGATGTTGTGCCTTTAAAAGACAGTGGACAGGTTATTGAGCCGTGGCACTTAATGCAGTGGTCTTTAAAGACCCTGTATGTTTATATGCAAATCATCCATGTAACATCTAGAGTCAAACCAGAATCGATACAGGCTTTGGATGCGGCCATGATCCAAAGGAAAGTAAATAAGTGTTATACAAAATAGCTAAACACAAGAATGCATAGAAATCCAATCAGAAATCCAATTCCTCCGTATCTGTTAAGATTGGGAGTGCAGCGTATTGATGCACTAATTGCCCAGGTATTGATGTGTCCTCTTTTTGCATTTGCAGGGCAGCGTCCTGTCGATTTTAGCTGTGCTGATAGTGTATAGGGTAAAAACATGATTAGGGACTGTGGCATAAAGCGCAGACTCTGAAGGCCCAGGCAATAACTTGCACTCAGTGGGAAGGTGGACCCTTATAATGCAGTAAGACTCAAACATTGGATTTACTGCAGCAGATTAGGATTGTCGAGATACCATTAATTCATCTTACGATACTCTACCAGCTTAAGTATCATGATACCAAGTAGTATTGCAATAATGTAATTCATAACTCAAATTATAATGACAATTGTCAGAAATAATGGGTTTCACATTATTAAAGGTCTTGAATTTAATTCAAAATTCCCTTGTTATTGAAAAAAGTATTATTTGCTTGTCTCTTCAACAAAAATTTATTCATTCTTTTAGTGTTTTTGTAGACAACCGACAAACAAAAAAGTACATTAAAATAAAGATACAAATTATTTGTTACAAAAATGTCAATTTTCCAACTAAATTAGGTTATATGAAGTGGTCAAAAATTGTTTTTGCAAACATTGGATTTACTGCAACAGATTAGGGTTGTCACAATAGCATTAATTTATCTTACGATACTATGTGAGCTTGAGAATCACAATACCAAGTAGCATTGCGATTTTGTGATTTTTCATAACTCAAAATATAACGAAAATTGTCAGAAATGCTATATTTCACATTATAATAGATCTTGAATTTAATTCATAATTCCCTCATTATTAAAAAAAGTATTATTTGCATGTTACTTCATCTAAAATGTACTCATTCTTTTTTGTTTATTTTGTAGACAGCTGACCAACAAATAATACATTAAAATGAAGATACAAATTATGCCAAATAAATATTTGTTACAAAAATAGCCTTTTCCAACAAATTTAGGCTATATAAAGTGGTCAAAAATAGTTTTTGCAAACATTGGATTTACTGCAACATATTAGGGTTGTCGCGATACCATTAATTCATCTTGCAATACTACACCAGCTTAAGTATCCCAATACCATGTAGTATTGCAATATTGTAATTCATAACTCAAATTGTGAGAAATACTATATTTTACATTATAATAGGTCTTGAATTTAATCCATAATTCCCTTATTATTGAAAAAAGCTTTATTTGCAAATCACTTCACCAAAAATATATTCATTCTTTTTGATAATTTTCAGATAACTAACCAACAAAAAATACATTAAAATAAAGATACAAATTATTAACCAAATTAAATTTGTTACAAAAATAGCTTTTTCCAACAAAATTAGGCTGTATTAAGTGGTCAAAAATTTTTTTCAATGTTTCCAGTTGCAATTTTGGGTTTTTCATCCATTGTTTTTTATTTCAGTCTTAACAAAGTAATTCAAAAATTCACTTTAATAGTCAGGGCGAAGCAGTTGTGCAGTAGGTAGTGCTGTCGCCTCACAGCAAGAAGGTCGCTGGTTCGAGCCTCGGCTCAGTTGGTGTTTCTGTGTGGAGTTTGCATGTTCTCCCTGCGTTCGCGTGGGTTTCCTCTGGGTGCTCCGGTTTCCCCCACAGTCCAAAGAGATGCGGTACAGGTGAATTGGGTAGGCTAAATTGTCCGTAGTGAATGTGTGTGTGTGTGGATGTTTCCCAGAGATGGGTTGCGGCTAAAAGGGCATCCGCTGCATAAAAACTTGCTGGATAAGTTGGCGATTCATTTCACTGTGGCGACCCCGGATTAATAACGGGACCAAGCCGACAAGAAAATGAATGAACTTTGATAGTCGTTCTTTTTAAGAGACTGTCGTGATTGTTGTAGCTAGGCATTGGACGATAACTGTTTTCAAGGTATACCGCGGTTTGAAAAAGTGAAGGTTTTAAAACTGCCAAAACTTTCTGTAACATTGTTGCTAAGGTATGTGTAAGATTTTTTATTTACAATTTTTTTTTGTTGGACAACCGTATCTTCAGCAGAAAATACATCCAAATATGCCTTTTTAAATTGTTAAGAAATCTGTGTTTTTGAAACTAATGAAGACAGCAGAAGTCAATGATTTATTTTAATTGTTTAGCCTGACAATTGTTCCAGAATATTATAAATCTTTCTAATATAAATATATTTATTGTTTTCAAAGAGGGAAAAAGTTTTTGTTTTTTTACCCAGATATTTAAAAAGAACTTATTTTAGAGCAGTAATCACAATACTGTGATTCCGTGAAACCGGGATATTTTTATATCCAAGGTTATCATACCATCAGATTTTTATACCGGTCCATGCCTAGTTGTAGCTACTAAATCATATTAAGAGGAACAGAAACTAATTGATTCAGATGTGTGTTTGAAACATCTTGCAACCTTAAAGGGCTCCACAGACTATTAAAATAAAATGGTCTATTGTTGCACAATCGTGTGAGCATTTTAGTGACTTTTCCACATCCAACATTATCTATTGTAGATAGACTGTTAATGACAATACTATCATTTACAAGATACAGTGGCAGCACCACTGTTTTGGAGCCATAGAATCGGGATACTACCATAGTACCACTAAACTGTGCAACCCTTCAACAGATATGTAAAAATACCCATAACAGTGAAGATTTATTGGCCCATGCCTATGTCTTGATAGAGAAACTTATTTTGTGTAACTTTTTGGTGCTTTAAAAGTTGTTGTTGTTGTTTTTTCTTCTACCTTAAAGCCTTTATGAATGCTGCTGTAAGTCATTGCCTAGTCCATGTAATGATTTCAGACAAAAAGTAATAAAACTGCCCACAACAAAGAAACTTTTAAGCCAATTTTACTGTATTACCCCCAGTCAACTGAAACAAAATAGAAATCTACTGACGCTGCACTGCCCTACAAAGACAAAGCATAACAACATTTCATCAAAAGTGGGTTATGACCGAAATTGAGTCTCTTAGTCTGTGATTTGTCCTCTGTCAGACAGGTTTGGCTGAAAATCTCTTTAAAAACCCTGTAAAAATCTGTCAAAAAAACTTCAAAGCTATTTTACTCAGTTCAGGCATTGCAGCTATTGCATTTCACATTCATAGGGCGGTTCACAAGGAAGTGAAAACATTTTGTTGAATAAATGTGTAAAGAGGAAGGTTCTTAAGGCAGAAACCGTTATCATTTTGTTCACTCCCTCGACAGTCATAACAAATTGAAAGTGATTCCTACAATGGATCTAGGAAATCATAAAAATGATATAAATGTAAAACACATCAACACTCTTTACATAAGAGACTCTTCAAACGCTCCAAGAGCACAGGCACTTCATCTCATCCTGATAAGAGTCTACAAACACTCGACAAACTATTTAAGTGCTGTTGATTTTCAACTATGTAGAGTATCTTATGAACAAAAGGTTATTAAAATAGCTCTAAAGTGGAGTGTAAGCACCGGAAAATATGCGCATGAAAACATTAAATACACGATCAATTTCAGAGACATCAGTTGGTTACACGCTGTGGAGAGGCAATGAACAGAACATATGTTCACTATAGACTGCCTCCCTTGTGGACGCTGGTAAACACCTAGACAATCTAAATGAACCAGCCACGTTCAGCCAGTGTATCAATCTCACACAGCGCTGAGAATATTCAGAGGTCTGTTGAAATTACAGCACAAGCACTTTCACGCAGAACTCTCAGTTGTACATTTCAAGCCTTGCTTACACTGCACAAGATGCCTGCAACAATTTCAGAAAAGAACATGTGTGAAAGCAACCCTAAACAAGTTCTGAAGTCATTTCTGCCCTACTCTCGAGACTGATAGTTCATGCAGACATTTTATTTTCCCTGAAGTATTGTGACCTTTTATTTTTCTGCAGTGCTGTAAATCATCAGTTATCGCATTCATTCAGGTTCAACAGGTTTAGCATTTCAGCTCAGTCCAATTAATTTAGTTACCCATATTATTAGCTACCTCACCCTTCGGACAAATGTGTAATTTTACAGGCAAATGATTTCATTAATGTCCATATAATATGCCCTCACATGCACTTTTTTTTTCAATTTGGAACAAAAGCCAATTTAACACAATATATATATATATATATATATATATATATATATATATATATATATATATATATATATATATATATATATATATATAAATCTTAAAATTGTATACTTCAATTATCTTTTGTATAAGCTCATTAGGAAAAGTATACAATTGTTTAATAGCATTCAAATGTTTGTTATTGCTAGATTATATAGACAGAGTATATATTATTAAGCATTATTATGTATTATTATTGTTGTTATTATGTATATATTTATTTGTATTAATATTATTATTATTATCATTATTCATATTATTATTATTGTTATTATTATTATTATTATTATTATCATTATTCCATTGGTTGCCTTTTTTAAGTGCACATTTTTTATAGGTGCACATTATTCTTTTCCTTTGGGCTCAGAAAGGGTTGTGGGTGAAGATGGTGATGGGGGAATCCTGTAATCAGACTTGCAGGGATTTGACCAAACATTGATCCTGCTGTTGACCCAGCCAGCCCAGGTGGGCGCTCCACTGCGATTTCCTTTATATCTGCAGCCCTGTGGAATAAAATCCAACCCAGTGCGGCTAGATGGCGAGTTATCGACGATAATAACGTTATACATGACTTGCAGTTGCGCACAACAAACAGTAGCCTACATTCAACTGGTCGTTCGTCAACTATCTTTATCGCAGCTGGATTTGTACAAACAAATGCTGGCCACCTGAAAACGCGTAGCAGAAGATCTGCGAAACGTCTACTGCGGTAACAAATAAGATTAGTGAATTCCGTGGCGTTAAATACGAGACAGCAGAAGCAAACAATCTCATTTGGTTATTTGTATATGCAAACCAAAACAGACGGGGTGCTTCTGCAAAACATTAACGCCGTTTAAATGTGGTGAGAATCTCGAAACAATAAGGGTTGCCACACATCACTGGCATCAATACGCAATCTTTTAAAACCTCTATAATTACTGACATGCCGCTGTGTAGAGAATATTCAAATGACCTATCGACATATCGAGCATTCCTCTTAGCTTTATTCATTTTTCTAGTGGCGTCAATAAAGTTCGTAGCCTACCTTCGTCGATCACTTTTTCCTTCCGAGATCGAGGTTTTCTTGTCTGAGGTGAGGATCAACTACAGCTGATGTTTCCTTCGACACGGAGGCCTAAACACCTGCTTTAAAGAATCCACACATCAAGAAAACGTACAATCCTTCCGATGGGAAACAATCCATAAGTGGCCGAGTTATTCTTCCACGCCATTCCCACGACTCCGCAGCAGTTTGAAAACGTCGGCACTCATTTAAGTGTTAATAAATGAGAAATTACGCCCGAGGATGGGTCTTCAAATGTCTTTGCTGTTGTTTCTCAGACAGTTCTCAAACGAGACAGTTCTAAAACGCGCAACTTCCCTCGTTTCAGTCCATAAATCCTCAAACACTCATTTTAGGAGAGTACAGGTTCTCACAAAAATGTTGATAGTGCTCCGCGTTATACGTTACGGAATGATAGCATAATCTATCGGAAATAATGTAGAAATGTAATAGTACATGGCAAAACGTATGGAGTCTGGTTTACCGCTTCGCCTTCCTCAGAAGTAGACTATAAACGTAGTTTTGGCACAGGAATCTTCTCCGCACAGGGTTAATCCTGCATTTCTATGCATGTGAGAGAGTGAGTGAGGAGATTTCTCAGCACCGCGCGCTGTTCCCTACTAGAAGCGCGCGCAGGCGGACGCGCGGAGCGAGAGGAGGTGGGGCTCACGCGCGCCACAGGCTGTTTGAGGAAAAAGCACAATTAGGTTAGGAAAATAGTGGAACTGTTAATAGCCTAATAGATATGCCCCTTGTCTGTTTTTATTGTGTTTCATCGCTTCCTTTTAGTGATGTCACAAAACCAGATTCTGTCTGAATGGGTCCACTCGGGTCACTGAAATGGCCTGCTAAAATCAATATAATATAATATAATATAATATAATATAATATAATATAATATAATATAATATAATATAATATAATATAATATTAAATAATTAATTGTAGCCTAAATCATTATAGTAGTAAGAGTTTTATTATGCAAAACAAATCCTGACAATATAGCTAAATTGGCTATTAAAATCCTGCCATATTAATTATTATAAACACAAGATTCCAACTTGCAAAAAAATCCTTCTCAATGATTACTACAACTGGTAAACTGTCAATTTTTGTGAGCTAACACAAAGTGACAGCCCTGAACCACCTCGAGATTCATTGTAGGTACCATGTTTAGGCAGTGATTCACATAAAAAAGTAAATTATATTCTCGACATATGCTAGCATAGTGCGGCATAAATTCACAGTTCTCATAACAATCAGAAAGTACCCCGATGATCTACTACCAGCTAAATTCTGTGGTTCATGCATGCTTTTAGGTACATTGCCCCATGAAATTCACTCATGAGGCCACAGGAAAGGATTTTGTTAATGGCAGTATAGCCAAACTAAGCTGTCAAGTGATAATTACAATATGGCAAATGTAAGTCCTAATTACATGCATATAACAAAATTTCATACAATATTGTGTGATATACAAAACCGGAGAACCATGGGAAACCCACATGAGCACGGGACGATGTGTAAACTCCGCACAGAAATGTCGGCTGGCTTCGTAAGGACTAGAACCTGTGTCGTTCTTGCTGGGAGGCAACAGTGCTAACCACTGGGCCACCGTGCCACCCATCTAGAAAAGGAGGAGGAGTAGGGGTGGAAGGGTGGATTCTTCAAAACGAAGATGTCTGTCATATGGAACTTAGGGTATTTATAGTGGCTAATCGTCTGATTGGTGAATCATAAATTGAATATTGCAGGACCGGCTGCAAGCAATCATAAGCATGTGATCCTCTCGAAATTAGTTTATAAATAAACTTCACTTATTGACTTGAGTAATAGTCCTACTTAGCAAAAATATCAACCAATAATGTTTAAACATAATAGAAATAAATATAAAAAATTATGAATGATAAACAATACTGTATATATAGGCTATTTATCAGAAAGCTTAGTTGGCTGAACTACACAGGCTTGCCCTAAACAATAATAAAATGTTTTATAATATTTCAAATTTTTTGTTTACTTTTTGTCTTTGTTTATTTATTTTATTTTTTTCCTTTTTTTTAATTTTTTTTTATTTTTTTTGTCTTTAAGCAAACGCCTGTATCTGTTTTTTTTTTTTTTTTTAATTTAGTCATTCCTTTTAAAGAGGCGGTTTCAAATTATTTCGGTGTCAAGATCTCTCTCAAGGGTCACCTAGCTCTGCTCGTTTTGTCATTAGTTTCTTGTGCATGGATCATAATCCTGAGCACTTGGGTCGTAGACTGTGATGAGTATTGATCGAGTTTGGAATCGCATCCAATAAACAAATACAATTTGATCCATTCAACAGTTAAGAGCGAACGCTTTGCTCTTTTGGCGCCACCCACGGGCGTTTGAATGTACACACGGCTGGCAAAGCGTGTTCACGTTGCCTCTAATCTACACCATAAATCCACTCCCCCGTCGCCCACACACACACAGAGAGAGAGAGAGAGAGAGAAAGAGAGAGAGAGAGCGCTGTTCACATGCAGAAGAAAGGATGCTAGGTTTTGTAACTGTCGGTGTGAAAAGAAACATTAGACCTCATCCCTGAGCATACTATATAAAACAAGTACATATAGGAAATAAAAGGAGAGATGATTCAGCAAGATAAATGAAGATACTTTGCAACAACAGACAGAACATAGGCTATCTACTGTATTGTTAGCTATATTTTGGGTGGTACCTGCACGCTCATGCCATAATTAATGGCATCAAAATGAAAATCATTACCAAATGAAAATTTAACTAACACAACAAAACTCAGTCTCATGTGTTTACATGCATACAAATGATCCATGAGTAATCGGATTGGTCGTTCAATTGCATTGAGCAGCTTTCATGTAAACACCTCAATCGATCGGGCTCGATCTGAATAAAATTTCAGTCAGATTGGAAGAGGTGGTGTAGACCTGAAATACCATGATCAATAAGCAGGAAATAAAACCTTATAAAAGCTTGAATCTGAATAATCAGTCAGAATCAAAAAACATCACACATAAATCATTTACCACGTCTTATATTATACTAAAATAGTAACTATGTTTATTGTTAGTTAGTTTTTCATGCACTGATATAAATATCATCGTTAAATTATGTTTATGTTTGTGTGTGTAACAAAACCATTGCTGATTTGTTGTTATAATTGCTTAACCACAATGTCTTTATTCCTTCAGTCATTAATTTTCCTTTGGCTTAGTACCTTTATTCCTCAAAGGTCACCACAGTGGAATGAACCACCAACTTATCCAGCATATGTTTTACACATGCAGATACCCTTCGAGCCGCAACACAGCACTGGGAATTACCAATACACTCACATTCACACACATAAACTATGGCCAAATTAGTTTATTTAATTCACATAGTGCATGTCTTTGGACCGAGGGAGAAACTGGAGCACCCGAAGGAAACCCAATGCGGACACAAGGAGAACATGCAAACTCCACTCAGAATGCCAACTTACCCAGCCAAGACTTGAACCAGCAAACTTCTTGCTGTGAGGCGACAGTGCTAACCACTGAGCCATCGTGTCAACCAACAATAACTCATTCATTCATTCATTCATTCATTCATTCATTCATTCATTCATTCATTCATTCATTCATTCATTCATTCATTTATTTTCCTTTGGCTTAGTCACTTTATTTATCAGGGGTTGCCATAGTGGAATGAACCTCCAACTTATCCAGTATATGTTTTACCAGCCTGATCTTATGAGAAAACTTACGTATTTTATGTTTTGCCAGTTCAGTGGCTAATTCGTACAAATTTGTACGAGTTCAGTCATACGATGTTGTACGATTTTAAAAAGGAGGCGTGGCACCTAACCCCAACCATCATTGGGGATGAGCAAATCGTACTAAATTGTACAAATTAGATCATACGGTTGTGGGTTTGAATCCTGACTGTGCCAGTTGGCATTTCTTTGTGTAGTTTGCATGCTTTCCCTGTGTTTAAGTGAGTTTCCACCCGGTTCTTCAATTTACACCACAGTTCAAACACATGTGCTTTAGGTTAGTTGTAATTGGAACTAAATTGTCTGTAGTGTGTGAATGACAGTGTGCGGGTCTTCCAGTACTGGTTTATGACTGGAAGGGCATCCGCTGTGTAAAACATGCTGGAATAGTTGGCGATCCATTCCACTGTGGTGACCCCTGATAAATAAGGGACTAAGCCAAATGAATGAATGATTGAATTATTGAATATTCAGTCTAAGAATCTAGAACTGCATTCTGAGCAGGTACCACTTTTGAATTTGAGTTGTTTTGACAATTTAAAAATATGTATTATATAGCATGAAGTTGAGTAGTTTGAAATTCAGATGTACTACATTTGCCATGTTATTACTGTCATGCAAATTATCAGTGTCAGTTGTAGCACTTCAGTGCTATTCATAAATCCTCTCATGTGGACTCATGGGATAGTAAAATACACTTTAAATGCATGCTTTAGAATCTTTTCATGTACTGTTTTTAAATACTATAAATTCAGATATACTACTCTTTTGGCTTACTGTATTTGTCCACCATACAAATAACAAACCAACACCACAGAGGTTCACCTACAACTTGTTCAAGCATTGGAATATTTGAACATTTTGTCTGGTGGTTTTCTACTGTAAAGCTATAATTCACTCAAAAATACTGGTAGGTACATTTGATTAATAATAAAATCTAATATATAGATAGCTAAATATAAGTCCTGATATATAATATATCGTTTTATTTTAAATGGGCGATCCAGAGTTTATTTTTAAAGCTTGGTTGTGTTCATAATATGCAAAGCAATGTGTGCTCATGATTCACTTGTAAAAAAAAAAAAATCATGTTATTTTTTCCATATATCTTACTTTGCCTATTTACAACTACTCAGCTAACATGAAAACGACTGTCATATTTCCTAGTTCCTCCAAAAGCCTGCCCTAAAGAGACTCTGATTGGTCCGCTAACATGATGTGCTGTTATTCGTGGATCAGCTCTACGTCACCAGGAAACATCATGTCCAGTCACTGGCATGCACTGTGCCTCTGCTCTGATAATACTGTCAGTCAGTGTAGCCGTGTCAGTGTGAGCCTGAATTTGATATAAAATAAAGAGCACACAGTTGAACCTCATGCCTGCTCTCTAAAATAAAATTAAAAAAGTGTTTCATATCCGAGTTATAAGCATGTGTAAGTAAAATGAAACCTTCACATATCTTCTGTGAGTTTGTTATTTGAGATGTATAACATACTGAAAGTTGCCACATAGAGAGACGCTACAGCACTGCTGAAGATTTTGGCTGTTTACAGCAGTTTGACGGATAAATATAAATGTGTAGCTAAATTGGTAAACGTGCCAAACAGCATTTCCTCTTGTTTACATCTTTGTTTATGTTCACGCTTCAACATACCATTAATGCTACACTCTCAGAAATAAGGGTACAGGAGCTGTCACTGGGGCAGTACCTTTTCAAAAGTTGCATATTTGCACCTGAAGGGTCGATAATGGTACCTCAAAGGTACATTAAATAGGTCCACTTTTTAGGTACATTTGGCTACTAATGTGCACCTTTGAGGTACCATTTTGGACCATTTGGTACAATATGTATCTTTTGAAAAGG